GGGTTTTATTACAGGTCGCTCTGCGGGAATGAATATCCGCAAAGTTTTGTGTGCCTTAGATGGCTCTCGACAGTTGGGCGCCTCCTCCAGTCCAATGGCCTTATTAGCCTTGGACGGCGAGAAGGCGTTCAACAGCATCAGCTGGGAATGGCTACATAAAGTGTTAATCAAGATGGGTTTTACGAATACTTTTCTTCATTATGTCTCCACCTTATATTCCTCACCAGAAGCTAGGGTCTTTACCTCCACGTCTCTCTCGCCCCCATTTAAACTGCACAGAGGTACTAGGCAGGGATGCCCCCTATCTCCATTACTTTTCAATATCGCTATTGAACCCGTCCCTTTACCTTGAGACTACTTCCATATATTCTGGGTACCGGAAAGGGTCACATGAACTTAAATCCATGCTTTTTGCAGACGACATTCTGCTGATCCTTTCCGACCCAGAGACACAAATCCCCGCTGTACTACAACACATGGAAATGTTTGGCACGTTCTCGGGATTGACAATTAATCTAGATAAAAGCGAGGTAATGCCCCTAATCAATACATGCCCCCCTTCACTACTGTCTGTCATCAGTGCCCACAACCTACAACTTAAAACACCGTGCCATATCCTACCTAGGTATCCTAATTCCACGCACACCATCTGATCTCTACACCTTGAATTATACCCGTTATCAACAAGGTAATACAGGAACTTTCTTCCTGGCAAGAGCTACCGCTGTCCATGACAGGCCGATGCCAGCTGATACGCATGGTCAGCTTTGCCCGTCTTCTTTATCCCATCCAAACTTTACCTTTACTACTAAAACACACAGACATTAAACTCCTCAATTCGTCCTTCTCTAAATTTATATGGAAGGGTAAAATACCACGAATCGCCCTCTCAAAGATGCAACTCCCGAAAAGTCATTTGGGTATGAATGTACCGAATGTCAGACTATACAATTTAACCAGCATTTTTAGGCACATCAGAGACTGGTTATTGGGCACCTCCTTCTACTCCAACACCCCCCTGGAACAACAACTGGTTCACCCATGGTCCCTAGCGGTCATTATACACTCTCCCCTACATTCCCTACCCCTGCACCTTAAAACACATACCCTCATTAGAGATACTGTCACGACATGGAGGGAAGTCAGAAAACTTGTGAAAATACCTGGCACCATATCCCCATGGATGCCTATCACCACCTCACTGGCATTCCCGGCAGGGGCCGAATCCCGTAATTCCCTGACCTGGAACTCTCTCGGTATACATACGATACTAGATGTACTTTCTCCAAAAGGTTCTTGCATGACGTTCGAAGACATTACTTCCAAATGTCATATTATGCTTTTAACTTTGCTCCCGTCTCATCACCGGACTGGTTACAACACTGCCCCAAGTGTGACATTTGTCACCCAGACTTTATACACCTGATCTGGTCTTGTCCACGAATTAGTTCCCTATGGCGCGAGGTAATTGACTACATGAACTCTATGTCGAGAGCGACACGAGAACCCCACCCTACACTCTGCCTACTACATGACATACCTCATGGGCTTACCTCTTCCACTCAATCCATCTCAAGATGGGAGCATCTCTGCATGCTGGCCTCTAAAAAAGCTATACTCACTAATTGGATAATCCCTACCACAGAGGACTTACAATCCATTCTCCATAAGCTTATGCTTCTCGATAAGGCAGACACACGCAACGAGGAGAGACGCATAGACCGTTTTTTCTCCACATGGTCTTCCTTCCTTACTGAGTCCCTCCCCCCCAACCAGCTCCAACCTATCATGCTTCCAAAATTCCAAGTGGTACCTTACGGCCAAACTCTCCAATTCCCTGGGGAGATTGGACGTACTCTAGCTCCGACAGGGTGGACCCAGTTTTGTAGTTTATAATGCTACAGTGGATTCATGATACTATTGGAGACGGATGTCTTGTATAATGCCCATTGAATAATTATTGCGTGTACATTTGCTCATAGGATCGTATGGGGCACACATAGCTCTGTTGTTATAATGTCACTTCTCTTGTAACTCTTTATTCAATTCAATTTTTGTCATGCATCCTTTGAAATACCAATAAAAACTACATGCATTAAAAAAAAAAAACATCACTTGCTGACTACTTCCCACAAGTTATAAATATTAAAATTAAATTTCTATAGATTGGGGTGTCAAGTCCTTCAGCCCAGGAGCCAGAGATGTCACACAATGATGCCGATTTCAAATCTGGCAAGAATCTGCCGCCTTCCCTATGCCCCCTGTAAAATCTGCATAATTGAAATTCACACATTTCCCTGGAGGCCGTGCTAAAAGACCAGAAGTCTTGATCTACCTTAAAAGGTGGTTTTGCCATTTATTGCAATTTATTTTAATGTAGTCTGCTAGGATTTTTGTATTCGGCTACTGAAGAGGACTGTTCATTTTTAGCGAGAGATCCGCTTTAAAGTGTATTTCTACTTTTGCAGTCAAATTTGAGAAAACCTCACTAAATATTTATATTGCTATTTACACAGCATACTTTAAATTTTTTTTTTAAAGATACGTCTTACCTTTTTAGATGTGTCTGTGTAGCAGGCCTTTGCAAGTGTCTCTCTCAATTTCCATGTGACAGGAAACTCTAGTTGTTCCCATAGAAAGACTAGGGTCACACTGATTTTCCTCTCATGAACATACAATGCTTCCTGATTTGTAACCATTTGTTAGGACAAACATTATTCTAAACTAGTTTACAACTTAGGAGATCTGCCAGTACAGTACACACAGGGTTGATTATGTTAACATTAAAGGAGAACTATGGGGTTCTATCTTTTTTTTATGAATGCATTCCTTAGGCTAAATAAGTAAATAATGTAATTTACTCTAATTAGCCAAAATGCACAGTAAGGCTGTAAAACCTTATTTTAGGTAGTGGGCGGGGCTAAGCGCCGCAATGAGAAGACATCCCGACGTATCTGACGGGATCCTCCCCACTGATGACTGACAGTGATTCTTGAGAGCTGCTGCGCGTCCACGGATATATGGACATGCGCAGCAGCTCTCTCCTTACCTGCACGTCCCCGTGTGTCAGCTCCTTCCCCCCTCTCTCTCTCCTTCCCGTCAGATACGTCGGGATGTCTTCTCATTGTGGCGCTTACCCCCGCCCACCACCTAAAATAAGGTTTTACAGCCTTACTGTCTTACTTGGCTAATTACAGTAAATTACATTATTTACTTATTTAGCCTAAGGAATGCATTCATAAAAAAAAGATAGAACCCCATAGTTCTCCTTTCCTCCTGTTTTTTTTGCATATATCTATTGCTAGCAAGCAGTAGATATATGCAAAAAGTGTAAAAAAAACAACCCCAAAAAACCAGCTTTAAAAGCGGTTTAAACTTACCTGTGTCCTCGCTGCATGCTTCCGTCCGAAAATGTGAAAATTCTTGGGTGGCCGCAAAGCATCTTGGGGCGGGCGCGAATGCGCAGTTCAGATTTTTGGCAGGGAGATGAGGAGAAACACAAGGTAAGTATATGGACGCGTGCACCCGCATGCAGACACCGTGGGACAGGAAGTGCCAGTAAGGACAGAGGAGTCAGCGCTGGATCAGAGACCCGCAGCAGCGCTGGAGGGACAGATGAAAACGACAGGGAAGAAGATCGGATTAAGAAACATCATTTGAGGGAAGTGCTTTAATTAACATTGGGGGGGGGGGTATTTTTGACTTTAATATCACTTTAACCTGCCCAGGCCCCCAGAGAGAACAATGTTTCTTTCAGAAAAGAGCAGGTATTGTGCAAACAGCAATTAACAAAAAATGTTATGTAATGTGAGAAACATGTAACAAATAGAAAAAAGGTGTTATTATAATTTGACTGCAAAAGTAGAAATACAACTTAAGGAAGTGTCAAGAGAACAAGATGTTACTTAGCAGTGTGTGCTAGCGATAGTAAATATCTGCATTGTTTTTGAAAAGAAACATCCACAAAAGCAAAACTTTGTTGCAAACATTTACTAAAAGAAAGAATGGATATTTACAGCAAACAATATTCCCATCTGGAAACAAGACATCCATCCTATGTTCTTCAAACTACACTCTAGTAGTTTAATATTCAAGGCATTGTATAGTATCTAGGGGCAGGTTATACTGCAATCATACATACATGCTAAAGTCAAAGACTGACCATTAGATTAAAAAAAAAACAAAACAAAAAAACATTGAAATGGTCAGATTTTGCGATGTTTGTATTGTTTGTCTTTAGTCTGCTTTTGGCATGTCCCGTTCCCTATATCCAGTTACAGCGGCCATCCATTTCAGAGGAGCTTGAAATCACCAACATTACTGACTGTACAATATGGCCCCCCCAAGCTTAACCTGCCTTCCTTAATGGCTAATCTATGGAGACTGCATTATTTGTTTTCCTTACTGCTGGCATATCTATAGGCACATTAATACCATCTGCCATAGGTACAGCTATAGAGAACAGGGACCAACAGCTCAGTACTCAAAGTTGCATCTTATAAAGTATTATTACTGAAACATCTGCCATTCTAACTAATACTGCAGGGTATTTTCTATAGTAATGTGGCACAAGCTTCTTATCTATGTATACAATAATGTATGCATCCAATTATAAATACTGTTCCTTTTTGTAAATAAAACCGGACCTTTTAAGCACATTTTCTCCATCTATACTGGGTCCTCTATGCTCCTGGGCCACAACAGATATGCAGGTAAGGAGAGAGCTGCTGCGCATGTCCATATATATATTAAGGTAGCTCTGTGCCATATGTCAAAACCCTTATGCTCTGGATTTAAAATGGATTAATTGGTCCATTAAAAAGAAAAAAAGCGCCAATGTGAAATATTTCCTAAATATATTTAAGATTATTATACACAATCATGTCAATGTATTTTCCACTTTCACTGAAAGTTTAAAATTAGGTCAGTTGGATGACAGGAATACACCTGTTCAGAGATGTGTAAATGTGTTACTTTTCAAAGTAAAATATTTTAAAACCGACTTTTAAAGTATCAAAGCTGCTACAGCTCAATACTTTCCATAATAATTTTTAACATTAAAAAAGTATTAACGCTTTATCCTTTAGAGTTGTGGTAGGATTCGGAAACATACAAAACAGAAGTGTCCAAGGATAATCAAGTCAGAATGAAATGTTTTAACATGTTGTCCTTCCTCCCTAGCTGCCCTGTTATGTCACTCCTAATACTGATGTTTAAGGTAGCTGTAAGGGCAAACAACATCACGTTTTCCAAGCCTTGCTTCCAAAACACAGAACGAATTTTCAGCAGTGATTTGGAGATAAAGTCCATGGATCTTTGACCATGCATTCAAACAGTAGCAAATAATCCACCACCTGGAGTGTCCCAATCTCCTACAAAACAATTTCACTTTCTTTTTCAGCTTGAACAGCCATGGATATATTTGTATGACTGTCTTCATCTTCTTCAGCTTTCTCTCCGTTTGATCCAGTCTGTGAACTGACATTCACTGTGCCCTTTTGCAATATCTCTGTAGTCTCATGTTCCAACACCACCGAAGGGGTTAAGGGATCCAAAGGTAGACTACTAGGTTCACTGACATCAGAACTTACAGAGTCTGCTGCATCCCTTCTTAAAAACTGTTCAATGCCAATGCTGTCATTAGAAGGGTTTAAATCTTGCCAATCTTCAGCTTCCATAGGAGAAGACATTACTTCATAAACATCTGTAATGCTGGCTTCATTATCAGAAGGCTCACCAATCTCTAGTATAGTGTCTTTGCAAGCCCCGCTCTCTTCAGTAAGGACAATGTTCTCGCTACTTTCTGTCTCCATTAGCTGAGCTGCTTCTTCTGGATTTGGAGAACAGCTGCCTGAACTCTCAGTGGTCACATCTACATGCTCAAGACTAGTCATTTGACTATTAACTAACAACATGATTCTTTGGCCTTGAGAGGTCCTACTATTTTCACATGCATCACTTTCATTCTTTGTTGCCTCGGTCATTAGCTTGTTCTCTATGCTATAAAAGTAAAACAGAAAAAGAAACATGAAATCAGGAACTAAAACACAAACAAATCAATCCAAGATAGTTAAATCTAGCAATGTAATAACTTTCTCTAATCACAAGCAGCATACGGTTTAATAGGACTGAAACGAATGGTCAGAAATTCCATCTATATCATGTGACAAACTATTGACACCATTACAAACCCAGAATATAAGATTTCTGTAAACATCAGTGCCAGATACAAAACTAAACATCTAAAAATCAAACTATTTTCCCAGCAACAGGGAATGGTTCAGGTTTTTTTTTTTATGTGCCCCTCTGTGAAGATTTCACCTCACTTCCTATACTGGGGACACAACAGGAGGAAATCCATTCTCCGATAGTTGTCATTGGAACTGATGTCCCCATTAGGAGATTTCCCCTTTATCTCTGCTCTAGGGACAATTGTAAAATCTTGGATTTACCATCACCTTTTGCCCCTGTGGTCACCAGGACAAATAGAGAGGATGAATATCCCCAGTGGGGACACCCTTCCCTCTGACACTGAAGCTCAGTTCAGCAGCAGTCTCTTAGAAGTTGCTCATTGTTTCTTGGTACCTGTAGAGAGGGTGTGTGTTAGGACACTGGTCTTTCCCCTGTATTCTACGCATGCACGCACGCACAATTTCTCAGTATCTATAACAGCATTAAGATGTCCATCCAGTACACAAAGGTCCATAATCAGTTTTACACTAACAGTGTATGTGCATCTAGTGCATATCAGTGACTAGTTTACAATGTATGTGCAATAAATCATCAGTGGCCAGTCAGACCCGTCCGCACCCAGTTTTCAGTGCAACTGGGATAATGCCTTACATTAATTCACTACACCAAATATTAGACTTATCCCCACTGACTGTGAGTCATTGTTAATGTTAGTTTCATTGTCCCATTTCATAAACATTCCCTGGCAAAAAAGCCCTGCTCCAATTATCACATGCCCAGCAACTCCTCCACTGGTCCATCACCCAACACACATACAGACTGCAGTCATACACTTCATACTCCTCCCCTGCTCATACCCTCCACACATTTTTCCTGCCTACACCTCCTTCCCAGACATACCCCTCCACACTCCTTCTGGCCATCTTCCTCTACCCAACCCATCATGCCCTCCATACTCCACATATCTCCCCCATCATACCCTCTGCACCCCTCTGTTGCACATGCTGCCCACTGTTATAACTTCTGCATTTCTTTTCTGCACATAATGCCCATGGTCATACCCTCTGTACTCCCCTCCTCCACACACTGCCTGCTCTCATTCCATTTACAATATTCCCCTCGATATATTCCCCCTAAGACACCTTTTCTTTAACATGGTTTGTTATACAGTGAGGAAAATAATGATTTGATCCCCTGCAGATTTTGTAAGTTTGCCCACTTACAAACAAATGAAAGGTCTATAATTTTTATCATAGGTGTATTTTAAATGAGAGAGACAGAATATCAACCAGAAATCCAGAGAAAACACATGATACAAATGTTATAAATTGAGTTGCAGTTCAGTGAGTAAAATAATTATTTGATCCCCTACCAACCAACAATACTTCTGGCTCCCACAGACTGGCTATGTGGTACACAGATTAGTCCTGGCAATTTAAGAAGGTGCTCCTAACGGCAACTCGTTATATATATATATAAAAGACACCTGTCCACAGAATCTCTTTCTTCCATTCAAATCTCACCACCATGGGCAAGACCAAAGAGCTGTCAAAAGGACGTTAGGGACAAGATTGTTGACCTGCACAAGGCTGGAATGGGCTACAAGACTATCAGCAGGAAGCTTGGTGAGAAGGAAACAACTGTTGGAGCGATTATTCAAAAATGGAAGGAATACAAAATAACCATAAATCGCCCTCGGTCTGGAGCCATGCAAGATTTCGCCTCATGGGATAAGGATGATCATGAGAAAAGTGAGGGATCAGCCCAGAACTACACGGGAAGAGCTTGTGAATTATCTCAAGGCAGTTGGGACACAATACACCGCCATGGATTGAGATCCTGCAGCGCCCCCAAGGTCTCCCTCCTCAAGAAGGCACGTGTACAGGCCCGTCTGAAGTTTGCCAACGAACAGCTAAATGATTCAGAGAAGGACTGGGAGAAAGTGCTGCAGTCAGATGAGCCCAAAATGGAGCTCTTTGGCATTAGCTCGACTCACCGTGTTTGGAGGAAGAAAAATGCTGACTATGACCCTAAGAACACCATCCCTACAGTCAAGCACGGTGGTGGAAACATTATGCTCTGGGGCTGTTTTTCTGCTAAAGGTACGGGCCGCCTTTGCCGCACTGAGGGGCCAATGGAGGGAGCCATGTGGAGGGAGATCTTGGATGAGAACCTCCTTCCCACAGCCAAAACACTGAAGATGGGTCGTGGATGGGTCTTTCAGCATGACAACGACCGAAAACATACCGCCAAGGCAACAAAGCCGTGGCTCAAGAGGAAGCACATTAAGGTCATGGAGTGGCCTAGCCATTCCCCAGCCCTTAATCCTATAAAAAAATCTATCTAGGGAGCTGAAACTTCAAGTTGCCAAGCGAGAGCCAAAAAACCTTAAAGTGACATTAAAGGATATTTTTTTAAATTTCAGCAGCTGACTTTAATGATGTCTCTTAATCCGATCTTCCTTTTCTTTCCTGTCCTTTTCAGCCTTCTCTCCAACGCTGCGGCGTGTCTGATCCAGCGCTGACTCCTCTGTCCTTGCTGGCACTTCCGATCCCACGGTATCTGCATGCGGGTGCACGGGTCCATAGACTTACCTTGTGTCTCTCCTCGTCTCCCGGCCGAAAATCCGAACTGTGCTTTGCGGCCGACCGAGCAGTTTCGGATTCTCGGACGGGAGCGCGCGGCAAAGACGGGGTAAGTTTAAACCGCAGTTAAAGCGTTTTGTTTAAAAAAAAAACTTTTTGCATATATCTACTGCTTGCTAGCAGTAGATGTATGCAAAAAAACCCGGAGAAACCCTCCGGGTTTTTTTGCATACATCTACTGCTAGCAAGCAGTAGATATATGCAAAAAGTTTTTTTTTTAAACAAAACGCTTTAACTGCGGTTAAACCCTTTAAAGATGATCTGTAAAGAAGAGTGAACCAGAATCCCTCCTGAGATGTGTCCAAACATGGTAACCAACTACAAGAAACGTCTTACCTCTGTGCTTGCCAACAAGGGTTTCTCCACCATGTACTTGGGGATCAAATACTTATTTTACTCACTGAACTGCAACTCAATTTATAACATTTGTATCATGTGTTTTTTCTGGATTTTTGGTTGATATTCTGTCTCTATCATTTAAAATACAGCTATGATAAAAATGATAGACCTATCATTTCTTTGTAAGTGGGCAAACTTACAAAATCTTCAGGGGATCAAAAAATTATTTTCCACACTGTATCCCAATCTTTCCCAGGAGCCGGTACACTCTTAATAGTAAATGTAATGTAGAAGTCCACGTTTTTTCCCTTTATTCTGGACAGAGTGGTAACGGGGACGTCTGTCAAGTATTCACTGGTGTGGCTATTCCCACTGAAGAACATTTCCCATACAACCAGCTCAATGACACCACAAAAAACACAATTTAATTAGCAAACCATTAGAGGAATCTCCGAGATAAAAATATAATAGCACACATATTCCAACTGCCATGCTTATTATCAAACTGTTAAAAAGAAATCATAACTGCAATAGTGTATAACAGATTAAATAGAATGCTTGAAAGTAGATCTAAACCCAAACACTATCATAATCTTTCACATATTAGTGTAATTTCAAAAGCTGTCTATAATTCTAATAAATCTGCAGCTTTTGTTAGACTAAAGTTAAATATGTTAAACAATAACTTTTTTTAAAGTTAAATATATGTCATAAAAAAATTACCTTTTAACTGTTACTGCATAATTGACCGAGCCAGTGTTTTCCTCCTGAAAACATGAAAACCTAAGTTAAAACTTAATTTCATATGAGACCTGTGACGAGAAGATATAAAAACGCAGTACATTTTCAAAAACATCAGAACTTTAGGAGGGACAAATCAAAGACCACTAAGTGTGCAACTGCAAAACTGGCTAAAGTGTATAGAAATAATAACACTCAAATGTATATTTTAAAGCACACTTTTCATCTACATAAAAAACCCAATAAGAGTTAATCAGTTTGGTGCATCTCCTAGTTAAAAGATCCAAAAAAAACATACCCTTTAATCACTGACATTAACAATATAGTAGTTTTCCCCAATTTAATAATGAATGAGATTGTTATTCTGGCATTCATGGAATTCACAAATGGCCAGACTTAACAGTCCAGGCAGAAATGAAAGATCTTGGTCTGCTTTTGCTGATATATTTGGCTACTTGCAGTATCAATCCAAGGCCAGTATTATATTAACTTACCTACCGTAGGTAAAAGATTGAAGTATAACTATACCCAAAATGAAAAAAACAAAAACCTAAATCCTGCCATATAAAATACATATAATTACATAATTAAAACTTAGCAAAATCTAATTTCTTCTGAAATACACAGGTCTTACACTGCACAGGGCTTAACTGTTATGAACGTTCAGGAGGGTTATCTGCATTTCCACTGCCGATTATCCTTCTACTCACTTCCAAGTGGTGCAGGCCACATAGTGCAAGAGGGTGCCCTGCATATGGAAGCAGTGACATAGGGAGCCCTCTTGGATCTGCCTCCCAAGTCCCTGGTGTAAAAATTTGGGCAACATCTGTGATGATGTTACTGGGGCAAAGAAGCAGATTTTTTTATTTACTTCTTGGAAAAGGTAAGTTGATGAGATGGATGAGAAGAACTTGAAATGTTTAGACTTTTGCCTGTCCTGAGTCTCCAGACAACTCTGTACAAAGCGTTTTTTGCTGTCTTGAAAAGAATGGGGGAATGTTGGAACCTTTAAGGGATTACCCTTAAAGTAGTTCCATGTTATGCAAGCTTTATTGAGGTTTTCCAAGATCGTGGATCAACGATAATTTCCATAATTTATACAGAAGCTGACTGTACCTGTGCACATCAGAGCTGGTTTGTAAGTGCAAGATTTGTTGCATCGTATTGTATTTAATAAACGGTTTTGATCTGCGCAATGTATTGCATCTGAATTGCATTTAGTTTTGCTGTCTAAAGTTCAAGATATTCTTTTATTTGGTTATGGACTGCAAGTGATGACATTTTAACACGGACATTTGTTTGGACAACACAGTGGCTGATAATAAAGAGGTTTTGAATGGTATTCAGTTGAGGTTTAGCTCCATAATATTAGTTGTTATTAATGAAAGCTGAGTCAACAAGTTTGCTTTGTAAACAAACCCCTGTGGTCCTTTGATTGGCTCTCATAGTGACCACATGATTGGTACCAAACCAGAGTGGTTTTATATCTCAAGTGAGAGGCCAGTGCTATCAAGGTCTTTGCAGGCTACTACCTATTTCCTTAATAGATTAACATATCCTAAAGACTGGGCATAATGTATAATACAGGGCAACATTAATCTATAGATTGCAGGCAGAATCCAGTTAAAGACCAACGTTTTTCCTCCTGCCAATTTAGGGAGGGATAGTTTCAACCATCATCTGTGTTCCCTGATGTAGGGGGAAATCTCTACCGACCGGAAAAAAAAAAGTTAAGACCTTTTCAGAAAAGCTTTGTCTGCAGTTGGGCTTTAAGTTCTCTGATGCAGATTAAGTATTTGCTTGCCAATGGGAAACTACCATATATTTTTGTTGCCCCAGGTTTTAATCATAAATATGACAAATTGTACAAAATTACATTTGTTAATAATTTCAATGATAAAGCTTTGCATTGATTCCTCACAAGAAAATGACAGTGAAGCAGGGTTAAAGATTGTCCTCTTGCTCCTTTCTCAACTGCCTAGTGAGTCACTGACCAGGAACAAAAACCCAGCCAATACAGTCTGAAAAATGTGAACTCATGTCCTGCATGCTTGTTCCAAATCAGTGATCACTAGGTAGTGAAGCAACTATTTAAATGAAAGCCAGACTATGAAACTTTTTAAAATGCTTTTGCAAAGGCAGCCCTGTATTTCTATCCATATAGCTATATATCCTTGTATATTTACTTTACGTTGTGAGGAGTGTGCTTTAAATTCCAATGATCAAATGTATCAGAGAGTGCAATACAAAAAATAAAAAAAAGGCTAAAATAAAGACACACCTGATTACCAGTTTTAACTTGCTCTACTGGAAGATGAAGTCTTGATCTACCGAGGGAAAACCAGCAGTAGTTAATAAGAAAGTAAAACATCTTAATGAAGGGTGATGGACAGTTCTTTTAACCAATCAGTGGTTATTAAATCAAACCCATGCCACCAAATTGTGTTCTACATTCAAAACACTTCTGCAGAAAAGTCATGGCTGCAAACTTCACACTAAATAAAAATTCAAACATGCAAAGCAAATTCAAGAAATGTGTTCTAATGGATAAGCTAAGTAGTAAACACGGCTGTACAAAGAAAAATAAGACAGTGCATGTCCTTTTCAAATAAAAGATGGTGGATTATGACAAACACATAAAACAATATCATGTTTTTTGTCTATAAAACAATGTAAACTGAAAAAGAAAAGCATGTCAAGCATTAAGTAAAAAACCAAGCAGAAAGCAGAATGTAACAGCTTTGTTTAACCACATTAGACTTTACAGAACAGGTCCAGATAAATATCAGGGATCTAGGGGATATAAATGACTGCAACAAATAACCTGAAGACACCACCACCAAATGTCTAAGTGGATGGAAAGTTCTGGTTATTAGCCTTTTTTTCATATGTTATACTGTAGAAAATGTCATACGCAGTTGTTTCTCTGCCTGTGGTAAACAAACATGTAGGTTTATGTGTGCGTTGTATGGAAAATACATCTTCCAGTGGTGGATGGTCCAGAGTAGTTGTGATTAACCAATGAAATGTAATGCACCATCTCCCCGCTTCCTCAAGGTGTATGAATAATTAAACTGTATGTAGTTATCACAGAGAACATGATCTGAAATTGCCGCAACCCAAGGTTACGTGTCCACTGCAGATATAAACTGTATCTAGTGCAGGTCTTGATGAAAACTATCATGTCCACTCACTGTTGTGACCATCATAAAAATGAAACTAAATAGATTTTCAAGAATGATCTAATTTGTGTGAGCTGTGGTGACTACACCCTGTATAAGCAATGCTTATAAGGCAATATGTAAAATTATAGCCCACTTACAGATCAAATAAAGATAAATATATAAATTATCCAGTGAAATGTAATGCACCATCTCCCTGCTGCCATTAGATGTGTGAATAATTAAACTGTATGTGGTTTTTCACAGAGAAGGTTGTTGAACATTGCTGTGGGCCTAGGTTACCTGTCCACTGCAGATATAAACTGTCCCTAGTGCAGTTTCTAATAAAAACAATCATATCCACTCACTGTTGCGATTATTATGAACTGAAGCTAAATGGATTTTCAAGGATGATAAATAGTTTGTGTGAAGCTGAAGTGTTTACCCCCTGTGTAAGCATCTCTAAAAAGGCAATATTTTAAATCACAGGCTACTTAGTTAAGACCAAAAACATAAATTATTTAGGTTCTGCTACCTTGATTAATTACCTTACATATCTCACCATCAGCATGAATGATTTATTTCTTCAAGAGAAACAAGAAAGAGCAATAACAATAAGGCCCAACTTCAGAGTCTATAAGGTCATAAGTTTCAGTACTGAACACAACTCATGAAGACACATCAATAATAATCCATATCTCAATTTCTTTTCCACTAGGTATTCACCTTCTACCGTCATACAACCTTATCCTTGCGAGGGAACAGTTATCCTTACGAGGGAACACCCTCGTATCAGTTTCATCAATTCCAGTACTGCTGGTATGTAATTGTAATGCATTAGAATCAACTGCTCCGATTCAAACAGGCACAAGGTAGCCAATTCAATGCCCAGCTTTAAAATCTTTCTTGTTGTGCGAAATATAATTATCCGAAATCTAAAAAGTTTCAATAGTCTTAGTTAACACAGTTTCACACATGGCTTAGTTCACATGAAAAACAACTGTCACTTTCAGGGGAAAAAAAAGAAAAAAAGAATCCTTATCCAGGTTTTTTAGGCTTTGTAAAATAGGGCTGCCAGGTCAGGCATTGTCCTCATAGAAGTTATGGCTACAAGAATGAACATCTTATGGATAGGAGTGGTTAGAGGAACATCTCCGATTCAAAAGGCCGTATTTAATGTGTCAGGAGAACTAGTTTCAGATCCCACTGCGTCACAGGGGAATGAGCATGGAGAGCTACAAAGGAGAGACCCAAAACAAAGGTCGTCCATATGTTCGCTTTTGCACAAGAGTCCCGAGGCTAATGCAGTATGGTTCTGGGAATGGAGAGTTTGCAGTTTCCCTGGGGAAGAAAAAAAATCTGTCTTGAACTGTGTCTAGACTAGACTCAGATACTCCAAGTGATGAGTTGTTTTCAGTGCAGATTTCTGAAAGTTCAGGATCCATCCTAAACGCTGTATAGTCTGGATGGTCAAAGCTACATTGCCTGCCAGAACCTGTGATGACCGTTTCATGAGAAGGAGGCTGTCTAGAAATCCCAAAATGGGAATGCCCTGAGACTGCAGCAAGGCTACCACTTTGGTGAACACTAAAGTCTCAGAAGAGAGGCTGAATGGTAGGGCCAAAAAACAAAGTTCAGAGAACCTACAGCAAAGCAAATTGTTGGTGCCCTGGAAAGGAGTGGACATGTAGATACATGTTCCTTGATGTCCACAGAGAAGACAGAAAGTCTCCATGGTGGTGGAAGGAGAAGACAGACCTGGTGGATTCCATATTGAACTTCTGAGCTCAAATGAATACATTTACAGCTTTTAAATTCATGATGGGGCAGATGTCTACTTTGGGTTTCAGGACCGTGTACAACCCCTAAAAACATTATGCTACATGAACTAGGGCTATGAAAATCTGGTCCATAGGACTCATTAGGCGGGGATACACCCCCATGCTGAAGAATGGCTTGAGGGTTTGGCAAACATTCTATGACCAAGGGATCAACCACATTAGTGAGTGATCAGATCCCTTCTAATAGCCTTGGATAAGTCAGTCATTGTTTGGTAAATCAAGGTTTTGACTAAAACAGAGTGAAGAGCAGGACCAGCGCTTAAGATAGGGCCTCCAACCTTTCATCCGTGGGGTCGCTTAAGACAGGTTAATCCTCAACCACTAGTATTGTGGTTACTTTGTTAAGTAGAGACACTACAAAATCCACAAAGGGAGCAGATGATATTTTTTTTTAATAAAGTCCTCTTCAAATGGGTAAAATTATAATAAGAACTTGGGGAGAACAAATATTTTGCCAGGGTGTTTCAGATTTCCACAAACGGAAGACTTGGAACATTAGGTGCACCAAAACGTTCTTGGCAGTTATAGGATCTCTAAAGGACCCCAGACCGAGGACAGCACTGGTGGAAGCAATGGGCTGATCCTCTTCAATGTGATGTGTGCTGCCTCAATAAGAGCTGAAAGGGTCTCCTTCAGTTTTGGAGTGGTGTCAGAAAACTGCAAGTCCTCAAAGGCAAGTTCATCCAGTAGGGACTGCACAGGCTTGGAATAAGACAGCATCTAAGCAGCTGATGGCTCAGAGGCCACTAAGGCTGCAGGCAGATCTGAAACAGACCTCCCTGGGCAAAGCAGAAGAGGCGGCCACACCCAACAGAGCTAGGGAAGACGCAAAAGATGGCATAGACACTAGAAGTAGAGGCACAAACATTCTAGGCCACACAATTTGGCTGTATCAGTAGGCATCCTGCACAACTGCCATTAGCACTGACGTTAACCCTTTCTGCTGTACATGTCACCTTGAAGCAGGGAATCCAAGCAAAACCACAAGGTATCTCCTGGTGCTCAGCCAGATCATCCTACTCACCGAGCCTTATGAGGCAACACCAGTGACTCTGGACTCAGTGAGCACTCCTGCTGCTAACTTGTTACCACACAGAGTCTAGAAAGAGCCTTATACGGAGCCTATTGCCCCAAGGTCACTTTCAGACTAGCTCTGCGATGTCCAGTCCAGCGGGTTCCAGTTACAGCACTCCAAAGCCAAATTAAAGACAGAATGCTCCAGATAGCTGCTATTGTAGATACCAGTTCAAGCATCAATGTTTTGATTAAATAAAAAAGCAATGGGTAATTAAAATAGGTTGTCTTTTCCCTGCATAGGAAAGACATCCATCCTCCTAGGACACAAGTGAGAAAGAAATGTGATTACTACATGAGCAATCTATCCACAAAAGCGGTTAGCGAGACTCGGTGCAGGATGATGTAACTCCCGCACATCAGCATAGAAGTTAACCCATTCAGGCACCTGGCAGATGCTGGGATTGTACACTAAGCTGTGCATGCGCAACGCAGTGTACAGTGTAATAATGCTTATGAGAAGGAAGTCAGGAAGTCTTTATTGCAGAAGAGACATAGTATGGCCTTTTTGGAATAATTACTTTTAATTCTAAATGAACATGTTACAAATTACTAAACTTATCCCATATAAACATGACACTGAGAGCAACAAACCATGAAGTTGGGTTTAAGTTCACAAACTTCAGTAACAAGAAAATAAATAAAACGCCATAGGAGATCCTTAGCCACTAAAGGTTTTTGAGATCAATGCTATTCTCTGCTTGTAAACTGGGACAGTACAAAGGCATCCAGCAGCAAAATAATGTTTAGGTTACAAAATAGCCATTGTTGAGCTTCTGGTTCTAAAATCTTTACCAGATGGTCACGATGTATCCTTACAACTCTAAATCAAGTAACTTGTAGCTTCAAAAGGATTTAAAACAAATAATAGTAAATACAAGGGTGGAATCCAGTTGTCATTGTAAACGCTACAGATTTCAAGACGCACGCCCAGTAAGGATAACAATCATTGGTTTATCTGCACTAAATCACTTAGCTTAGAGTAATGGTGTGGAAATTAGTAATGCCAATATGCATGTAAAAAGGTAGAGTCCATTAATGACTCAAATTATGTTCTGTGCAATGACTACCAATGTCCACAACACACACAGGGTTTTAAAAAAGGATTGTTTTATGTCTACATAGCATTTTGCAGAATTACTTTATTACTTACAAACAGTACAAAAAGCAGACATATATATGTATTAAAATAACTTCTTTATTGTAGAATGTGGTGTCTAACTAGGCTTAGAAAACTAGTCAGAGTGAAATCGGAAACAGATCAGGCTTAAGGGCTTGTTCACACCATGTCCGGATCAGATCTGGACCACAAAATTTGTTGTCCGCACCTGAAATGAATCCCAATGTATTTCTATGGTATTTCTGGGCTCTGTTCACACCAGTGCAGGGAAAAAATGCTGCATGTCTGGAACGCACCAAAACCATATGCAAATGCACTGGACTGCACCTTAAAGCCTATTTTAAAAAGGCATTGCATTGTGCTTGCAGATCTGGTCTGGACATGGTGTGAACAAGCCCTTAGACTGAAAACTGGTCCCAGACCACAAAGCAGAGATTGCTACATCAACAAGAAGGATGACAAATGAAAGATGGAGGGAAACTTCTAAAACCAAGCTAAAAAAAAAGAGGTGTAAAAAAAGAGAGCATCAGGGAGGATATCATGTATTTCTTAATTTGTAGAGTCACCCACAAAGTTTTCAGCCTTAGACTTAAAAGTCCACTAGCCATCAGATGGTCTTCTGTTTTGAATGCTTGTTGATAGATGAGGAGCAATTATGCATACTGGTGAGATTTGTTCAGACTGAACATTGGTACACTGATCACATAGAATATTTATTCTTATTATTATTAAAAGCCAAGTCAGTTTTCTCAGTGATTCTTCAATTTAATATACAGATCACAAGATAACTGTATGCATATTACATGTGCTTCTGAGGTTTATATCAGGTTCACCAAAATGGTTACTTACTCAAAATGCATAAACATGGAGCAATTTATTGAGAAAATGTGAGTGTTCAAACAGGAACAAATATATGGATAGTCGTATCTTACTGCAACCTATATTGCAGTTGTTTGAACAGGTCAACTGTATGCAGATTTGTCCACAAATATGGTTGCTGAATTACTGCTTTGTAGTAGTTGTTTACCTGCAAGTGCTGCATGAGACTAGCCCAATACAGACCTTAAAGTAGTATGAAACTCTTTTTTTCCATATTGAATCCAGATGAAACAAATATAAATTGCCCAGGGAAGAGAGGAGAGCAGTGGAGAGGGAAGAGACTTGCTGTGTCTGTGTGTGTCACTGTCGCTCTGATGAAGGATCCCTGTGCGGACCCGAAACGTTAGCACCGTATGACAGTATGTGACATTGGGTATTGAATAAACATATCAATACTTAAAAAACCCTTCAAGTGTGTGCCGGTGATTTACTTTTATTTACCATGTGTGTTTGTGGAGACACACATAGCTTACTAGCACATACAAAGGTGGCTCCATAAAACTCTGAAAGAGAAAGAAGCCACCCTAAAACAGGAAATCGGGGCCAGTGCTCAGGGGATCAGCTGATTCTGCAGGAAACTAAGACTTTTAAACATCAAGGAGCAGCATCAATTTTAATTGACTTATTCAGCATATGAAATAGCTTTAAAACATTTTGACTGTAATATCATTTTAACCGTTTAAGGAGGGAAGGTTCCTTTTAAAGCTATCATTTCTAAGTAGAACAAAAACTAGCTTTTTATATATGTTTACATGCTTTATAGAATCTTTTTGGGTGGCTAGTGCATAACGATTTATTACTTAGAAAGAGTCTTGATTATGGACAACAAAAACAAATTTAAAGTAGGCTCTAATAAAGCAAAGTACGCACTAAGCTACAGGCGACTAATTATCCAATGCTTAGAAGCCAAACACTAAGGTTATAGTAGCTTAAGGGCAGTAAGCAAAAAGCTAACTTACTTAGACATGTCTCCTTCATGAGTTGAGGAAAATATGGAAACTGAGATCAAAAGAAAAAAAAATGAATTCACTTTAAAAAAATGTCACTGTTAACAATAACAACGATTCAACTAATAATGATGGATGAGAAAAGAATACAGAGTAAAGCTTTAAAAGGCAATCAATTCTTACCATTCTCTGTAACCACTTGGCATGAATGAGTGTGACTTTCACTCAAATGTTTGGCCATGTCATCTAAACCAGAAAGATCGGTCAGGAAATCACAGTTCAGGCATACCACAGTTATACGCCTAATGGAATAAAAACACAGTTGTCTTTTAGATTGTATATTGTATGCCCTGTAAACAAAAACTTCACATACCTTTGAAACTGGGAATTTCAAAATATTTTAATCACATTCATATAAGAAAATTATGGAACAAGACAGGCTCAGAAGAATAATATATGTTCTGCCCCAGACTTCTTGGGGTACAGAACACTGCCACAGCATACACCTTCACACACACTGCAGTTCATGCCGTGCAATGCTGCTCTGTACTCATGCCCAAGTAAACACTGCTGAAAATGATGACGCAAAACTGGATAACATTTTTCCATTGAGGTTTATTGGGAAACGATACAATTCTACAGAACTGCATTATGGATATATCTCATAAAATTAGAGCAGATGCAAGGTTATAAAATTGCTATAGGAGTTATCGAAGATATCTTCAACTGCTTTATTAAAAAAAGCTCACTGTTCAAATATTCAGACCCGTTTTCCATGCAACAAGCACACAGTAGATCAAAAGAATTAGAGAAGGCTGAAAAGTAAAACATGCTTAGAAAATAGAAGAAAAAATGACAAAAGAAAAATAGGAGGTGTACCATGAACAAGAAAGTCACCATATATAAATGTGCCTTTGTTATAAGAGCCTGCCAAGCTGACATCATCAGAATTTGAGTTTGATATTTTATTAGGGGAAACCAGTGCACTAGGAAATATGGGCTCCATGTTTGGCTTTCTGCAAAGAATACTAACTGCCTGGTTGTTTCTGGCTTTAATTTTTTCAAAATTACTGACCTGAAACAAACATGCAAATTAGAACATTAGGTAAGACCTGCAATGTTGCTCCAGATTAGTGACTCAACGTACTGAAGCCATTGGCTCAACATAACATGGTGGCAGATAGCATATTCAGAAGGAGAGTTCTACAATGGCAGCCTACATACTCTTTTAGAACAGGTTTCCCCTACACATGTACTAGGTTAGGGGAGAGAATATATAAAAAAACAGACACTGCCTTGCTTAAGTATTAAATGCCCCTAAGCATGCTGCCTCTATATCCACCAGTCACGAAGGTTTCTCTCCCAATGGGTACTAAGTAAACATGTACCTGTGCTGTACCATGGTCTTGCAGAATCTCCAATTTGGGTGTCATTGTGAAAAAAGTAATCATTCTATACTTATTGAGTGTATTCTCTCTAGAATAGAAGCAGGAGGATTGTGAAGTAACGTGATAGAATGCTAGGTATGTGTGTAGGGAGACATGTGTATGTAGGGCAAAATGTGTTATGTGCATACACAAAAATCTGAATCTATTTTTGAATTTTCAAAGCATTCCAAAGGTAAGCAACAGGTATAGATAAAATATGCATGTGCGGTGTAATGATTCATAATGAGATGCATCATACCTTTTATCCTTGGGATGTTTTTTCAAAGCTTTGGATTTTTTGCTGGAATTTCTGCCATGAAAGCTGCAAAAATTCAAGAAAGATCAATAAACAGCACAGGAAATAGGTATGCAACCGCTGACTTTAACATCCCTTTATAACTCCTGATTTCTCAAACACTAGATAAATAGAGTCATTATTGCTAAGCACCACTTTATATGCAAACAGCACTTATTGTACAAATATACAAACGTTTACATTCATAATGCAAAAAGAAATGTTTACCAATTATTCTCTACTCACCTTTGCATGTGGCTAGTGTAAGCTTTATTACAGCTGGTACTGAACTTGCATTTGCTACAGTGTACATAGGTGTGGAAATGACCCTCAAAATCCACCACTTGACGATGACATTCAATGCAGTTATGGAACCCAGGAACGTACCTGAATATGATAAACACAAATCAAACATATTCCAAACTGCAAGCAATAAAAGGTGAATGAACTACGATAAAAAAAATAAAAAAAAAGAGATGTAGTGGTTCACCATAATAATCAGATGCTTAAAATTAAATTAAGAACAGAAAAGAATGCTAAACATCTGTGCTAGCTGTAATATTACCCCATACCCCCAATTCAGTCCAGAAAGGGAAAAGAAGGAAGTGGGCTTTTTCTTTGAAAAGATGGTGCAATAGTTTAGTTATTGGTCTGGTGAAAGTTACAAAATGTTTTACTATAGTTCACAAAAATGGCAACCGTTTAGAAATGATTCTTTCTATAAAACATTTGGCCTGAATCTTGAATAAAAATCTGTCTCATGATATGTATTTTAGGACCTTCCTATTTCGATGTACAACCTTGCTTCAAACCTTCCACAGCCCCCCTAAGAAAGCTACCCCAGCCTTACATAATTTTAACAGGTTATAACATGAAGCAGAGCACTTGTGTTATTAGGATTTAAATCATGGACAATGTCTCAATGAAAAAGTTTAACTTCAGTAGCCCCTATACTAGTTATCCAACACATGGACCAGATAATGGCTTTATTATACAACATGCAAAACTATTTTTTGGTGAGGTAAACATAAATTTTATAACTAGCCTCAAACTGAACTCTAGCATATTTTACAGCAGACCGTAATTTTAAACAACATTATTGGAGAACCCTTTTTATCCATTAGAACACTATAAAATTCAAAGTATATAATGTGACAACAGACAGGAAAAAAAACAAACAAAGTACACAACTAGGTATTTAAATTCTTACTGTCTGACAACTGAATGAGCAAATAACCTCACTAATACTTTAAAACATTGAGAATGGAAGGATATCTGGTTGGATGTGTCCATATGCTGTTAATATACTAGATACAAAATTAAACACAAAGTTATACAGAGCATGTATGTTGTGCTTAGCATGCATTATTCCCACTTGCGAAATGCATGTTTGCGGGGGTAAAGAAACGGTTGTGTACATCTGTTGGTCTTGTTCCTCTGGTCAAAACGTTTAGGTCTAAACGCCAATAGACATATATAGGCTGTGACCCTATATATGTCTTTTTCCAGAAAACACAAAATGCTCAATTCACAAAGCTTTAACATAAGTATAATGAGCTATTTTGCCATGTGACTTTATATTTCAATAGTCATTGGGCTCAGCTAAAAGTAACTTTTTGAAAATAAAGCTTTATGAATTAAAGTCACTAAAAGCCAGGTGCATAAAAAGGCTTCTCACTGTTTAATGAACACAATAGAATCTTTTACATAATGATGGTAGCCAGTGACCATGTGATCTAGGATGCCTAGCCTGAGGTCAAGAAACCAGGATTTTATTTTTCACAGAAATAAAGTTTCAAACTTAAAGTAATGTGATTAAGCCATGCTGACATATGATCTACTCATTCATGTGAAATGTGAATTCTAATATCTTTGTTATCCAGGATTCTAAACTGTTAAATTAGATATATCTGCCAATTCTAACAAACATCTGCTGTCACCATGAGATGAGTAGAGAATAGGAAACAATGCAAGGAAGTCAATGGTACTCCTTTTATCTCTTTCTATCTTATTTCTTATTATGTTTCTTAATTACATGTTCCTTACTGGCCCTCCTTTCATAGAATCAATTCCCCCACTGGAACACTATTATATACACTACTTGAAAAGTTCTATACAGTAACCTACAAGAGGCGAAAAAACCCCCAAACTTACTTAGCTCCTCCATTCCCACAATTGTCATTACATAATTCTGGCTCATTCCCCCTAACTTTTCTTGAAGTTGACACATTGATCATGCACAGATATGTTATGTTATAAAAGAAAAGAAAACAAGTGTCTAACAAAAATATTTGTGCTTTATCAGTATATACCTCTTATAGTACAAAGTTTATTAAAATTGAATTGTTCCAAAAGCAGGACTAGTATGAGAGATCGGTTTCGATGACCATGCTTTAAAGAAAAAAGAATACCTTATATTTCGCAGTGCTGTATTGGTCATCTTGATTCTTTTTGTGGTGTTTGAAGTTGCAGACTTCTTTGGAGGTGATTTAGGTTTTGGTGACAGTATGTTTACTTTAGGTGGGGAAATTTGATTGTTCTTAAGGCTTACAGTCTTTATTTTAGGAATTGGCTGAGGTGGTGTCACAGCTAGAAACTGGGGGGGTGGCTTGGGTGGTGTGGAGGGAGGATTCCTTGGAGCGGAAGGAGGATTTTTGGGAGGAGAAGGAGGACTTTTAGGAGCGGAAGGAGGATTTTTGGGAGTGGAAGGAAGATTTGTGGGAGGGGACGGAAGATTTGTGGGAGGGGAAGGAATATTTTTGGGAGCGGAAGGAATATTTTTGGGAGTGGAAGGAATATTTTTGGGAGTGGAAGGAAGAAGATTCTTGGGAGCGGAAGGAAGGTTTGTGGGAGTGGAAGGAGGTTTTGTGGGAGCTGAAGGATTTCTGGGAGCAGAAGGAGAATTTCTGGGAGGGGAGGGAGGGCTTCTACAAATGGAAGTGGTAGGAGGGGAAACAGGGTTGGGATTGCCTGCAGAAGTCGCTCGGATTGTGACCTAAACATACACAAACAAAAACAACAAAAAAAGTTTAAAAACCCTCGAAATATTATAGCATGCAACACACTAATACAGATATGAGCTCATATTATCCTTAAATGTTATGACTATCAAACCATTGTTTAAATTTACCCTTGGCGGATGAGTGTAAAATATATGTTGTGCTATTTTGGAACACTACAAAGTAAGCAAAGAAATTGCAGCAGTGCTCCAAGTAGTAGGTTTAACGCACTTGAGCACTATTTTAATATCATTAGCAACAAGGCACATAAAATATATAACTGAAATATAAGTAAATATCCATGAAGGCATAAAGTCATCCACTATTATATCTAAAAAGGTGAAATGAAATACCTTTGTTCCTGGCGGAAGACCTTCCAGTTGTTTTGGCTTTCTGAATGTTCTGTGATGCTGAGCTCTGTGATCCATTTTTTCTTTACAACTCAAAAACTGCAGCCTGCACTTCGCACATCTATACACACCTTTATTCTAAAAGAGAGAATGACAGGAATATTAGGAAGAATAATGACAACACTCCTAGTTCCACAGTTTAAATAATGTCTTACAAGCAACATCTCCTCTAATTTCAACCAAGAAATAACTAGAATATAATAAAGACAACTAACCTGGTGCTTCATGTAATGCTGCATGTACGGTGTTCCAGACTTAATAACTTTCAGACAAAACGGGCAGAGCAAATTTTTGGTGTTTTCATGCACATTTCGAAAATGAACATCGATATCATTAAAAACTGAAGACCTATAATTGCACACCTATGGTGTAGCAAAGGAGGAAAAAAACAGGAGTTAAAACACTAGTATACACATAGAAAATGTACAATTTCAATACAAATTAGGAAACTAAATGCGAAATTGTAGTCCATCACAAGAGCGATCTTGGAGTGGTGACTACTTGATTACACACACAGGGACCATGGGGAACATAAGTCGCCCCCCTCCAGAAGGAAGGACAGTGTCAGCATGAATTCATAGAAACTTTGAGGATCTACAGCTGAGTGATACACAAATAAGGTACAGTAATAAGAGTTAAAGTGATATTATAGTAAAAAAAAATTGTAAGCTATTTCAAATACAGATGGAATCACTTACAATGAATTCTGCTCCTTGATGTTTAAAAGTTTTAGTTTCCTGCAAAATCAGCTGGGCTCCTGAGCACTTGTCCTGACTTCTTGTTTTAGAGTTACTCCTTTCTCAAGCAGTGTGCTATGCAGTCACCCTTGTATGTGCTAGTAAGTTGTATGCATCTCCACAAACACACAGACACAGCAAATCAAGCTACTTCCCTCCCCCTGGCCCGCTCTCATCCCTCCTTCAAGCTAGTACATGAACAGTTGCTGGAGCCTGCACTGTCCTCTGTGATCTAGTACTGGAGTTCAGGGAAGCTGAGCTGAGAGACTTGGAAGCAGCTGCTCAGAAACATTATGATGTAAGTATTTGGGCACAAATGTAAAGCAATGCTTTGCAAATGCAATGTATATTTGTTTTATCTGGATTCATTTTTGAAACTGCATTTTTAAAGGCCTAACTCCGGAGTTTAGTGTCACTAAGTTCTGTATTCAAAAACCCATAGCTCTGTAGCAAATGTTGTCCAAATCTATTAGGGTTACTGAAAGAACACTGTAAAAACACTATTTTAGAATGATTTTTGTATAAACATTCATAAGTGGTCAGTTTGTTAAAAAAAAAAAAAAAAAGATTTCTCTATCATCCATTGAAGGGCACAACTTGATAATACGCAACCTAGGGTTATACTACTGCCTAAGAGAAAAATGGACACTGGGGACAAAAGAAAACTGAGGGCCAGCCCCCTTGAGGCTATAACCCCACCCAACTGACAACTGCTCTCACTTAGTCACCTTAGGAGAATGGGCTTCTGTTTCCTTTATGCTATATTTGCAGTTCATTAATAATTGTGTTCTCTCTGTGACAGTATTGTAGTCAGTAGTGTCAACTCATCTGCATTCCTGTTAGCACAGAACTCCACTTTTCAGGTCAGGCCAATTCATCTGGGGAGTCCCTACAGGGTATTGGGACTAGAACTGTGTTTCCTTGTCCTCGTCTCTGAAGACTTACTGTTGCGAGTGGTTTACAGGCTAATGATTGTGCTGAGGTTTTTTTCCTCTATCTACTTTAGGATGTTACATCTCTCCTCCTTTACTGGGCTCTCCAATATACTTCCAAGTTGCATGCTGTGCATTGCACTTTATTTTGTTGGAAACCCTACTCTATATTGCACTTTGCACTAGTTTCCTGCAGTTTTCAGTGGCTGAGCACTGTTAGGCTTTGTTCACATACGTCCAAACACTCAACCAAGGTGTTTCTTCATCATTTCTTATTTGATGAGTTGAATCAGAAAGATTGGAAACATCCAGACAAGCAATTGCTTTACCGCAGCGCTGAATACTGAAAAATGGCCTGGATGGGAAGGGGGTTTAACACCGCGGATGTCAACTGGCTAAAAAAATAAAAAGTGAAACTCCAGGAAAGATCACAAGTAAAATAATGTATATCTCTAATGAAGGTTTGGAGTGCTGCTGGTTAATGTAGACTTTATGGATTCATTCATGCTGAACACTATACACAATGTTCTTCTTCCAGTGCTGAGACTGATAGTTCCAGTACTCGTATAGTATAGGAATTTTGTACACACACACTTTTTTTTTTACCTGGCAAACATATGGCATTTCTCCAGGCTTATGATTATCCTTCATATGCTGTAACAGAATCTGCTCAGATTCAAATGACAATTCACATATCTTGCAAATGGCTGAAGAAATAGAAGGGAAAAAAAAAAGAAGATTTTTAAGTGTTCTATCAGGAACAAAAATAAAATGTACGGTAGTTTTGAATAAAAGAAACTTGCTTGTGCAGAATATAAGTTCAGCAAATGCCTGTAATGGTTTAATTTATTTCTTGAAATTTGAATAAGCACTACCTAACTTCTGGTGGTTTCTCATTACAAAACAGTTCAGGTACCCATATTTAAAGCAACAGCAGTATAAAAACTAGTGGTGTCAAATCTGCTTGTCAGGGTTTGCAGTCAAAGACAAGAAATAGGAAATACGGATTAAAATTTTCGTGAATTATCCAACAAGCCGACGGCTAGCTTTATATGATCACTTAGAGAACCACAGAAAAATAAAATGTAAAAAAGTCATGCCTGTCATTATATGCGACAAGAATTGTTATACTACACAACTGCCGCATGTGCAGCTTTACGGCTTTATTCTTTCTTTTATGCTTCCTAGCAAACAAACCTCTTTTCGCGGTTGAAGGCCATGTTTTTTTTTTTTTTATCTCTGTACAATGTGTAAAGCCTGTATAGCATACAGGGCCCAGAATTAAAATATGATTTGTCAACACTTGAATTGCACCCATGAAGCTAAGCACAAAGTAAATGAAGTCTAATTTAACGTATGTGCTTTGCCTGTGCATCCCCCCCCCCCCCCCCAA